TTTTGAAATACATTTCCGGATTAATAGGGATCCAATGAATAATGTTGAACTTTAAGATTTCATTATATTCTGACTTGTTTTTTTTAGCGTTCTTGGCTTGTTTGGAAGAATAATGAATTTCTTTTGAGTTTCCAAGTTGCATCGTTTCACTCAAATAATGCCAAACGTTTTCTGGATGGCTAAAAAATATAAAGAAACGGCGAACCCTAACCGAGCTTATCATTATTTAAAACTAACGATATTAGTGACCTTCCTAAAGGTCGAGCATTTATTACGTGCCTTTTGTGAAGGTACAAACGCCATAAAGAGATGATAATATTAATTTCGTTAGAAATAATAATTCAGTACTAATTGATCTCATCGAGCTGGTGCTTTGTTTGATTCGACATTGCTTTATGGAATTGAATCATATGAAAATGAAAGCAAATTGTTGCTCACCTGGAGGCTTTTTGCTGTTTTCTTTTGTGGAATAGTCGCTGATTGATCGGCATCCACGTCGTTGGCAGTCAAACCTCTCCGACCTGGGCTACTTTTTTATTTATTTGGAAGGGTGGGGTTAGGTTACTTACCTACTTAATTACTCATTTACCTGCTATTAGCACATTTAATTAGTCGGTTATTTTAGTTATAAAAGTTACCTGGCATGTGATGAGAGGCGCCGGAACTGGCCATGAGTCCCGCAGCAGCCGCGGCGGCCGGGAACATGCTGGACATGGCAGCCGGCGTCGCGGCGGCGGCGGAGGCGGCGGCGGCGGCACTACCACCCGCCCCACTTTGCAATCCCCGGGACGTCGCCGTCGACGATGACGTCGTCACGGAAGACACCTGGGCGCCGCCACCGCCACCGCCGCCACGAGGTACAACTACTGCGAAGGGCTTGGTGGCAGGCGACAAAGACGCGTCGTCGCTGGGTTGTTGCTGTTGTTGTTGTTGTTGTTGTTGTTGGCGCGGATTGTTCACTCGGTCCGAATGGGCCATGCTTTTCCGGAGGTATTTCGTCGGGAACTGAGTGGAAAGTGTGGCTGGTGATGGTGGTGGTGGTGTTGGTGGTGGGCGCAGTTGGGGCGGGGCCTCGGTGGGGGGCATGCATGGGAGGGCGTGGCCTCGACATATGTGGGAGGTTCTTCCTTTTTTTTTTTATCTCCCCGCCCTTCTGCGTTTGGTTTTTTTTTTCCCCGCTTTTATTTTGCGAAGTTAAGGGGCCATCTAGTTACAGGTCAAAGGCGAAACAGTAGTGAACCTGACTAGGTATAAAGTACAATATATCATACGACGGCTCTTTGGCCTATTGCCTGACCAATACATCCTTTTAGAACAATGTTGCTTCGTCATTGGGACCAGTCAAAAGAGCTTCGTTTTAAAGAAGAAATGTGTCGTAAAAATGCTCGAATAACATTTTGGTACTGGCAGGGACCTATAATTTTTTTTATAAATTTAATACATTATTCGTGTTTGCGAAGTTCTATTGATCTATCAGTGATGTCCAACTCAGTGCTGATGCCTTGATGATGGTCTACGTGAAATTTTATAAAAATAAAAAAGACGCATAGGTTCCAGGTCTCAATAAGGAAGTTCTGTGAAACAATTAATTGAATGTTGTATAGAATGGCTGATCTGTTTCAAATCCCCGCTTAAATTTTCTAAATATTTCCTACATGAAGTACCAAAAGTTAGATTAAATGCGAAAATTGTGATCCAGTTAGTAAGCAATCTTCTTAATAACCGCTTGTGGTTTTCCAAAAAATTTGAAAACTGCAGACTCACTTGATCACTTGAGAGTTTTTTTTTTTTGGAACAGTAAAAAATTTGTTTCTACTGTAGATACTTTAGCACATATATCCCAAGTAATTTTTGTTTTCATCCCAGGTTTTGATGATTAGTATTCATGGAAATATCGTACCAGCATATTCCACAATCATGTAATTTTGTTGATTGTTAATGTAGTCGATTCTTTCCACTTGAAACTTTCTCAATCAGTCTCTCAAATCTTTGAATTCATTGTAAACATTTCTAAAATCAAGGTTTGTTGATAATCTTTTCAATGCCGAGACTTTATGAAGAAGCAATGCTTTTATGCAAGGGCCACTTGCAAATTTTTCCGGAAAAATATAAGCAGGAAATTGGAGTTCGTATGATCAGCAGGTCCTGTAAATGTGTTTTGCAAGCTAATATTGAAATCATTGGCGCAAGTCGTAAGTGAGTCCGTGTATTTGAAGTTAATAAGCAGGAATTTATGTTCAGCACCAATCCTACAACAATGATTTATGCTAGATTTTCCAATATTACAATGGTTTATGCCGTTACAAATTCCTCCATATTTTTCTTTTAATTTCCCATCCAAAAAATCTGGGTTGTCGGAATACTTTTTTGGACAAATTGCGTGCAAAAATCTGGTGTTCGTCTTACTTGTAGTGCTACTCAGAAAAATTGTCCTGGTCAGAACACAGTTTTCCTGATGCAGATATTATTTTTTTCTATTTTCTATAAACACGCAGAACTTGGTCAGATTAATATTGAAACCACTTTCAATGATGATATAATTGAATGCTACGACAATAAAAAATATTGGTTTTGGTATTGGAGTGAAATCGCCTCTTGGTTTCATTTTTTTATTTCATCCATGATGCTTCAACATGAGCAAGAATACGCCACTGTATTATTCTCACTGAGGTGATTTTATTTGCTCGTATCATGACTGAAAAAAATGCTGTTATTTGGAATCGCAGACCGGTGTGTGTATGTTATGTGGTATAATTTTTACAAATTTGCACAGTCTACAATTTCCTCCGAATCAATTTCTGAAATTTTTCTCTGCCCTCTTCCTCCTAAACCCTTGTGCAGATGTTCACTTTCATGTGAATGTCGCTCTTGCTACTCAAGTCAGTGAAGATAAGTGACTGCTAAAAATATATTGTATATACAGAATGTATTATTCTCACTGAGGTGATTTTATTTGCTCGTATGATAACTGAAAAAAATGCTGTTATTTGGAATCGCAGACCGGTGTGTGTTTGTTGATGTGGTATAATTTTACAAATTTGCACAGTCTACAATTTCCTCCGAATCAATTTCTGAAATTTTTCTCTGCCCTCTTCCTCCTGAACCCTTGTGCAGATGTTCGCTTTCATGTGAATGTCGCTCTTGCTACTCAAGTCAGTGAAGATAAGTGACTACTAAAAAAAAGTATATATAAAGAAAAAGTAGGGCGTGGCTGACGTTGGAAGGTGTGGCATGTTACGTTGTCCTCCATATGTATATACAGTATATGCGAATGGAAGGGAGTGTTGCATAGGCCAGGATGGATCAATATCTGGCTTCCTGCCAGGAATTCACTTGCAGCAAGTCGTTACACGGGCTCGGGAAAGTCCAGGAAATGGAATTTCCCCTCTCAATGGATCCAACCCCATTATTCTGGCCCAGCTTCGGGGGTGCGCCCCCCTTGCTGTGCTTCCTGTGCCTGATGCTTTTCTGTGTCCTGAGGGGTTGGGGTATCTCACTTTTCCTCTGTAACAAACTACTGTACTGTATATATAGGAAGCTGGGTGATTTATTTTGAGCAAAGGCAATTGCTCGTAAAGAAGGAGGGCGGGTGTTGTGGGCTGGTGCAATGCTGTTTTTGCATTCACTTCCTTCACTGGATTTTTAAAAAATCCTGTTTCAGTCAATAGCTGTTGAAGAATAACTTACCACAACATGAATTTGCAAGAAAACAAACAAATGGATTGCAGGTTAAGAAAATTAAAGTTCAAATAAAACTCAGAATCAGCCTGGGACAAAGCTATAAATCCTAAATTGATTTCTGATTAGAAACTATTTAAAGATGTATTTCAAATGTGTCAAAATTTGAAACTTTTAACGTGGTGAATTTCACAACACTTGCAACAACTCAGCAGAACTCTTCTAAATATAACTTTGAGCACACACTTTTCACCATTAAAGTTTGGGAGGAAATGCATATTTTGCTCTTTGGTGAACGAGCAAATGACAGAAATTGGTTCTTGATCAAATAAATCATTACAAGAGGCTTTATCCTTATACAGAATTACCACATCACAGTAAGGTAATCAACCCAACATAAAGATAATGTTGTGTAATTTCTCATCAAAGATTCTCTCCAAATTATGTATTCAACTAAACCTTATCTGGGAACAGGCTGAAGACCTTGTGCCTTAAATTGGGTTCAGTAATTGCACTTATGGTGCAATTCTTATTACTGTTATTTTGTTTTTGTTATCATGGAAGGAAGGGGGTGTATGCATTTGCTGATGTGCATTGTGGGATGTTTTTTTTGTTGTCCACATATGACTTACTTCTCTGTTTTCCATTCTGATGTGATTGAATGCCTTTGGATGAGTTTTGGTTGGGAGGGGAGGAGGTTTTGGATGTGGGAATGTTGTGTGAACCTTGTGAATGCTGAAAGGCAGAAACTAAAGCTTCCTGTTCAATTCAATTCAATTCAGTTAATATTATCAGAATATTTTGAGAGCAATAATTGTTGGCCTTTAAAAAAAACACAGTGCTTTCCTGTTATCTCAGTACCTCCTTTTCTGCTATCTCTGTACCTTCCCTCTGACCAATTTAACCTGACCTAACCTAACTTCACCTAACCGCCTCCCAAAATCAGTTTCTGCTTTCTAATATCTTTTAATTAACATAACCTGACCTAACCTAACTTCACCTAACCGCATCCCAAAATCAGTTTCTGCTTTCTTTGGGTTTCTGCTGAAACTGATTTTGGGAGGCGGTTAGGTAAAGTTAGGTTAGTTCAGGTTATGTTAGTTACAAATATATTTTAATTAACATAACCTGACCTAACCTAACTTTACCTAACAGCCTCCCAAAAATCAGCTTCAGCAGAATGCGGAAAAATAAAATTCACAGTTTCTGGTAGGTCGTCGTGATTATGAACTCGTCATAAAGATTTGTCTGGATGTTAGTGCGGTCTAGGAATGAGGTACTGAGATAACAGGAAAGTACCAAAAATACAGTCACCAAAAAAGTGAATCCTTCCAAACCTTTATTCACTCCTTTTTTTCTTTCAACAGTGGGACAATTTTCCCGCATATTTTAATCATCAGAAGAATACTCGTTTTGAAAATGAAGAAAAGCAAGTAAAAAGCGACAAAGATGACCATGTAGACGTCCAGCATGTAGTATTGGTACCAGGGAAGGAATCTTCCCGCAGACCGTAAGTGTGGCGCCCCGTGGTTTCGGATGGCGTATTCTATCCAGAAGGCGCCCTTTGCTGCTGGTTCTTCTTCCCTGTCTTTCATTATGGCTGACCTTTGTTTGGCTGCTTTTGCATACCTGTTGAAAAATCGTGAAATATGATTTGCGCGTGTTGCGTTTAGAAATGTGTGACAGTTGGAAGCGCGAAAACATATTTTTTAAATGTAGAGTAATAAGTAATGATTTGAAAAGGCCTTGACTTCCTTGATTTCTTTGCTCCGCATTGCAGTATTTCATAGAAAAATTTTCCAACATGAAATTCAGTTCAGTTTTCTTTGTAAAAATGTAGTATGTATAAGGTAATGAACTTGAGATGGGCTCATTTAATAGCAATGATCCATCAAATGTTTCGATTGCTTAAAATTATGCTTATTTTTCCCATCTGTTGAAAGCACGTTAAAAATGCACTCTTCAATCATTTCTCTTGAATATTTTGTTGTGTGAGAAGATAAAAAAAAAAAGTGGAGTTAAATTTATTCAATTTTCGCAAAGCTCAATTCTTTCCTGATTCCAGAAAATGTCCTGATGTCGGGAATTATTTTACCAGTAGAATTTTTCAGAGGGAATATAAATAATGTAGAATTAGTATCATCTGTGTTAGGAACTTTTTAAAATGTCAGAAGGTTTTTTTTTTTTCAAACTTCGTAATGCCCAGGACTCAAATTTTCGTTAAGTCAGGGTCACTGTGTTTTTTTTTTTTTTAGTACGCGTATTTTTTAAAAATGTAAATGATGATTAAGACGCGTGAATTGGAGTGGTCATCATGACTACATTAGTGTGGGGGATACAAATTTGAAAATGTCAAAGTTGGATGACTCACTTGGGGTCTGTGAGGACGTCTGTGATGTCAGATACTAGTCTCTGGGTTGTTATGTCGCCCCAAAGCAACATCTTGCCAGCATCTGCATCAGAGATCCTCTTGAGGTTCATCATCTGATCCGCACCCACTGGGATCCCCAAGATGGGTACCGCATGAAAGGTTGTCTCCTGACTGCTGAGCAGACCCCCGTGAGTGATGAATAATTTCACTTTCTCGTGCCCTGTTTGTTTTTGTGTTTGGATATATAAATTACGGATATTAGTGATTTAATTATAATCATCATTCGGTGGATTTTTCTCTTTTGGCTTAAATATATATATATACCGAGCACGTCTTGCTGGGGAATCCAGGGAAGGACGAGGAAATTTGCATCCTCAGCCAGTTCTTCGACTTGTCCGTCCCATTTGAGCAAAATTCTCACCTCGAGTGTTCTAGAGACCCTCTGGAAAGCTTGCACAAAGGCTTGCCACTTTTGTTTGGGAAAGTTGTTGGAGGAAACAGCACTTCCCATGCTGAAAAAGATCACATTCCCGGCACCCGTCTTGTCGAACCAGGTTTTCAAGTTTTTGGGAAGTCTTTTCGGGGGTCGACAATGAGCTCCTCCGATTTCTATCATGTTAGGCATGGTTGGACCGGGGTTAACCTTATTAGAAACCAGAACCAAGTTGTGGTGCTCCGACTGCAAAAAGAGATCAAGACCCTACCTTCCTAGGAGCCCCGAGGTGAACTTCCGAAGAGCTTGTTACCCAAGGTGGACCCTTATCCATCTTTGTCTCGTGGCTTGCACGGCCCAGGTGAAGCCGAAATTCATCATCCTTTCCACGAAGTTCATCCTGAAATTTTTGATGGAAGCTCGCATTTTCAAAATTTATAAAATTTTGAAGATTCTTTTTTAATTTTTTAACATTTTTTATACAATTAGCTTCAATTTTCGATTCCCTGATCCGTTAATTCCTTGCTGTCTTGGATTTATGTGAGGGGGGTTCCCCATGATCTGGTGACATCTACGTGAGTAAAAATAAACTATCCTCACGCTATCACGTTAGATGTCACACTGGGTTGACTGTTATGTTGGTAAGGTTAGGCGTGAAGATTCTTTCTGAAAATTACATCTGAAAAATACACACAGATATAGGCAGAGGATTTGCCTTGCAGACACTTGAAATTTGAACAATTTGAAAATTTTAAATTTTTATTTTCGAAATTTTGTCGTTATTTCTATCGCGAAAAACTGAAATAAATATCCCGTTACATATCTACTCTGATTTTTAATCCGAAATAGGCATACTTTTGTGCTAATTTATTACGCCTTTACGGAATTTTTTGTGATTTTCTTCTTCGCATTTCTGCATTTTCTATGATTTTCTGCATCTGAGTTGAAAGAAAAATAATATTTACTGAAATTCATAGGACTTTTTTTAATTTTTGCCAAGCATGAGAAGTGGTTATAACTTTTTGGTGTTGCCGTTATTAAAGGGTTTTCCTGGAATATTCATGTGTTGACTTATATACGGTACTCGCGTGAGTTAGGCGTTGATTGAGGTCCCATTATCAATTATATTTTATTCGGGTAGTTTTGCATGTGGTAGCTATCCCGATATTTCTTTTTTTTAATATAACGCTACATATACAGTTAAATGAATCCACACAAAAATCACGAACCGATCTCCATACACGGATGCCAAATATGGGACGAAACTCGTGGGTATGGGGTTCGGTTGTCGCTGCGAACTGGTGCCGTTCAGGGGCCGTGATTTTTTCATGGGCTTTCCGTGAAAATCGGCTAACTATTTGGGCTTGTACGTGAGTAAACGGTGCACACATCAGTCGTTTTGCATCAGTTAACTGCCTCTTTCGACAGTTTGCATCAGTCTGGCAACCGTCGGCGTTTCCAACAATTTCGGGCAAGTTTGAATGGAAACCTCGAAAAACCCGAGTTCGTCCGAGATAGCGTTCCAAGTGGTCCCTAGCGTTTCAGAAAACTGCAAGAACACCGATCCTTAGAGCGACACCTACACTAGACTTCGTAAAACGAAGATTTGCGGTTTTCCACCTGGTATTGGAAGATGCCCCACGCGAGTTCCTTCAGGCTGTCGTCCGTCAAAACCTGAACTCCGTTGCTCAAACTGGGCACATTATAAGGCACAACTGCTGTCACCTGGTGCCCTCTTGCGGTCAATTCATTCAGTAGAGGCGCATAAGCGATAACATGACTCTTACTGCACAAAGGACTCAAGGCTAAGATTTTGTAACCACTTGCTCCACCGAGGAATAAAAGCACCCACAACCAGCACATGCTGCTGGCAATCACGCGCCTGCGCAACTGCCGAAGGCCTGTGTTTAATGTTGTTTATTTCGACACTCACGCAGAAGACAAAAATATGAGATTAAATGAAATAAATAAAAATTGAGCGCTGGATTAAGAAAGAAGAAACTCCACAGTCATGCCAGCTAGTTGCTTGTTGCCTTTTCCTCACAAATATTGTTTTTACATTTTTCATTGCATAATAATGAGGGGATGTGGTTGCATGAATATGTGCTGCCACGAATTCAGGCACCTCCTTCTGTTGGTACGAAAGAAAAAAAAAGCGGAATAGTATCTCAGGGAAAAATAAAACTGATGATTTAGTGATGTATCAAATGAAGTTGCTTCCTTCAATACCTCCAGCTTCAAGTCCTTCTCCACCACCTTCTTCTTCTCCTCCTTCCTCCTCTTTACCGACTTCTGTTTCCCATTCAATTTTCTGTTCACAATCCCAGGCAGCGTTTCTGTCTTTCTGGAACTTCCAAGAGATCATGGCGAAACCACAACAAGTCACAAAGACCACAGCATAGAGGAAACAAATGATCAGAGCCCAGGTGGCGTCTGAGTCAGGTCCTGACCCTGGGTAACCGTGCGGACGATCCCTGTGATACGTTGGGTCAATTCGAAATAACGAGGTCAAGTTATTCGAATAAAGCTCCTGTTCGAATTGCTTGCTTTCCTCATTTTTAATTGAACACAAAGGGAATGAATTAAATTACAGTACCGTACTATGTTGACCTTTTTCTGAATCGGGATCTGCATCACCCGAGGACACCGTTATTTTTATTTTCGATCGAGATGCAAAAAAATCTTCTACACAATCTTCATCAGTGCGTGACTTTAAATGTGGCGAGTAAACGAGTTCGTTGAAATCAAAATTTGGAAATCAAAGTTTCCAAGAAGAAACAAATCCCAAAAATTGTCTTTCGAATCAATGGTCGGGAACGACTGGTGGAAAAAAAAATTCTTTACATTAATACTGTCATCTTTAATCTGCTGTACTTGAGCTAGCAATGAATTGAATNAGATTCTCTGAATCATGGCTGTGAATGGTTTCAAGACTTTAATTCGTTCTCTAATACAAAATATTTCTCAAATATTTTTATACGGTTGAATTTCCCTGCCTTTCTTTGAGGACGACTCCCGAACAAAGAATTGCATCTGTTTAGTGAAAGAAAAAAAAAGTTTCTTACGCGGCATCACTGTAGTGCAGATTCTTCAATTCGAATTGAAATGGACAGCATGCAAATTTTGCTTCGCATAATCAGCAAAGAGAAAAAAAAACTGGCAGTAAAAGATAAAAATGCATGAATTGTGCACAGGGCGATTTTCTTGCTGCTGGGTGCTCCTCGCCCTTCTTATTTGCACAGGGCTAAAATGCGATTTTTTCGTTATTCCTTCTTTTTTTTTGCAGTGATATTTGTTGATGCACCCTGACCATCATGGATGGGAGGGGGGAAATGCTTATCTGCTGTCCACCAGCATGCTCCTAAATTTCCATGGAACGTCTTGTTTGTCAATGCTTTAATCGCTGTAGGAATCCTCTGCTGCTCCATCTCGTTTTCCCTGGAAGTGCAGTTGCATCCAGATCCTTATCAGTGTGAATGTAGACACAACTCGCTCTCTTCTTATACTCTTCTTCTTCTTACGACGCTTGGTGCGCTCGTCTTTAAGGACGGTTACAAAGCGTTACGACATATCCGCGGAAGTGACCTGACTTTTCGGATGGGTTTTGCTCTCTATCCTTTGTTTTGTGCAGTGTTGTCGGATATTTAATCAGGCAGAGGGGTTCAGGAGCTTCGGTTTTTTTTTCGCGTGTGTGTGTGTGTGTGTCATCCGGAAACGTTTTCGGCAACACTTGGTCCGTTGGTTGGTTGGTTGGATGTGCTGGAGAACCCACACATATCATCTTCCTTCCGGCCTTCAAAAACAAAGCGTAAAGAAAAGAAAAACAACAACAACAAACCTAAATCAAAATGACCGAACGAAAACGGGGACTAATGAGTGCGAAAACCGACTCGGAGCGGAAACGCGGACGAAAACAATCGAGTTCCTGTCTGGGGAAAGAAAGACGAGTCCCACTTCGCACTGTTTGCAGCACAGCTAACTTGAATGTTACCTTAAGTAAATTCGTTTTTCTTGAGGGGCGGGAACCATTGATGGTACTACTGTGCTTCATGTATACAGGTGGTACCTTGCAAATTGACCTGAATTCATTGTCAAACTAGGGTCAAATTGCAAGACACTCTATAAAATCAAGGAAAAACATCACAAAAACACTAGAAAAGAGATTGAATTGCAAGGTACCAGTACTGTAGTACCATTATTTCTATGAAAATCACGCGCAAGAGCCTTGCAATTTGACTGTAATCCATTGCCAAACGAGGGTCAAATTGCAAGACACTCTCTAAAATCAAGGGCAAACAGCATAACAACACTAGAAAAGAGACTAAAACAGGTCAAATCCTGGGGAAGATGTTGAATCGAAAGCCAACCTCATATCCAAGCAAATTTGGCTGTTGAATTCCAGAAGGTTGAATTGCAAAGCACCTCTTGTGCCATTATTTCTATGGAAATCACATGCAAGAAATTACAGTTTAGTTGCTGAATGAAATCCAGCACTGTACATTCCCAATGTGTAATCTTTCCTGAGAATTGGAGAGAAATTTGGAAGCAGTGGGGCCCCATCAAGATGCAAACATCATTGGTGCTTGGGCCACCACCATGTACCTATGTTGGAGCATCTTTGTTTTGGACAACATTTTTGCATGGATTTCAATGGGAACATATTTAATTGGTTTCTCCTGTTCATTGATAATTAGGATTAAGTCCCAAAAGAATTAAATACGGTAAATAATTTTTCTCTCAACTTCAAGATTCAGAAAATAACTGCGCAGAAGAAAACTAGGTAAAAGCTGATCTTTTTGTCTTCTAAACTATCTAAAGAACCTCAAAAATCAAATATTGGAAAAAAAATCAGTCTGGCTATGCTGCGCAAGTGTGATGGAATTTTTTAAACACTGAATTACTGTATAGTACTGTAGCTTGTTTCTATTAAGAATTGTGTTACTTACTATAAAATTCAATTTTTAATTTTTTGAATATAAATAGCTCATTTTTTTCAGGAGTTGTAAAAATTTTTAAATTTTGAACTTTCTAGTGGAATGTTGGAGATGATTCCTAACTGTTAATCAAGTGTCATTTGGAAATTTCTTCCAGGCACAAATCCCCTTTTTTTAGTAAAGATTGGGAGAGAATTTTTTTTTTCTTGCCAGGACGTCTAACAGATCAGCCCCTGTGGATAGGGGTTCCCGAAGTCTCAGGCATGTGTCAGGGATTGCTGAATTTCAGAGAATATGGACTGGGTGACACAGACAACACACACACACACACACACACATGGGGTTATGGAGAAGGGTAGATTTCTCCCTCCTCCATGTGCTGTATCTTTCTTTCTCTTGTTGTTGTTGTTATCGTTTCGACCTTGACTGCGACGACTGAGCTGAAAACGCCATTCGAGAGGATTTGCAAGTTGTCACGCATATGCGCGAAACTCCCCGGAGCTTTTTGGCCTCGCGATTTTTCTTTTTTTCTGGGGGAGACGCGGGGGTTTTATCTGCTGTAAAAGGGAAGGGAAAGATTGTTTTGGCGTTTTCCTTCCCTCCCAACTGCCTGCCAAACAACAAGGCGGGAAGAAAAATGATTTCCCCCCCAAGTTCTCTCTCTCTCTCTTGTCTCTCATGGTGCATTTCGTTTCTGAGACCCTTTTTCCGTGCGCAGGATTTGCCCTCGACTAACCAACCGCAATCTGGTAATTTTCGGATTTTTTTTTAAACCAAAAAAGGAGACTTTTATGCTATATAGTGGCGGAGGAGAGTTGGCAAATTGGATTTTACACATGACCGTTTTGATTATGGAGGGTGATGAACTTTTCGAGGAATATTAGGAACGGAATATCCATGGCACGGTGCATTCAGGTGCTTCATTAAAAGTAGAACCTGAATTTAATTGGCCATGGGGGAATTTGGTCGGAGGTGAAGGAAAGGGATCCTATATATAATTTCAGTCGCCGCAATTCGCGCAAAACCGACGCGTTTTATTTTTTAATTTTTTTTAGGTGAAATGAAATTTACAGCAGAGAGCTTTTTGAAGATAACAAGATTTCTCAAGCAGCATGATTGAACCAAATGGAAGGCCTGTCAAAAAAAAAAAAAAATATCGGGGCGTTTGCGAATTTTTCTTCTTTAGATTATAGTAGGCATGCTGGTTATTTTAATGCCGATTCACAATTGAATAAGGGGGTTTATTCCTTGAAAATTTCAAATCATGTTTAACTCCTGTTTATATTATTATTTTTTTTTATTTAGGAAAACTTACCCTGTTTCTTCTATATACGTTGTTCCAGGTGTAAATCACTATATAGTTGTAAAGCGGGAGAAAATTTCTTTGGATAAGCTTATGAAGCAACACTTGAAAGGATCAAAGTCTGTTTGGCGTTTCTTTTGTTGCGCAAATCTCTCATTTTGTTGCTTCCAAAATTTAGAATAGATGGACTAAGTTCAACAAGCTTCAATCCAGTTTTAATTTTGTAAACTTTCTCTTTTTTCATCACTGGGACAGTGTGCTGAAGTACTGTATTTGAGTACAGGTGGTACCTTGCAATTTGACCCTGATCCGTTGCTGGACTAGGGTTGAATTGCAAAGTGGTCAAATTGCAAGACAACGTCACATGGTATGTTTTTTTTACATGGCATTTGACATTCCATGTCTGTCCACGGGTCAAATTGCAAGGCAGAGGTCAAATTGAGAGTCAATCTCCCTGCAAATTTGACCGTCAAATTATGGGAGGTGAAATTGCAAGGTAAAAAAATTTAGTTCAAAAATATAAATTGCATTTCATATGCTTGTAAATATTTTTACTGCAAATATTTAATTTTCTGGAGAGCATCACATTTGAAACATATTCCACTAAGTAAAAAAATATTAGAGACAATAGAATTAATAAAAAATTTATTAAAAATAAATATAAAATATTTATTCAGGTTCAAATCAAACTGGCAGATTACAATGTGGAATAAAAATTCAAATCATTGAATGATAATTTCATAACCATAATTCCTGAATTTCAGGGTTTATATACTAAAATAAATTCACTTGAGTATAAATACTATAACACTATTGATGAGGAGCATATCTGCTATCTACCAAAAGTCCATAACCAAAATATTTTGTTTTCAATGACAGTTCTGAATTTTTTTCAAGCATCTCGGTTTTTACCTGGAGGATATTTTGAAGGAAAAAAAAGAGAAGCTTTGTAAAATATCAATTATTTTGATTATTATTTTGTGACCGCTTCTGAGATTTTGAGGACTTCTCAAAATACTGTATTTCAGCAAAGTAAAGTACAGTATCTTGTTTTAGGGCTAGTATGAGGACACATAAACTAAGGTCAAGAATCCACCAGAGCAAAATCTTGCAAAAGTCAACAGAAAAAAGCTGCTGGTGACAAAGACAGGGGGTCCTGTTGACACTGGAACCCCTGCTGGGCGGCGTGTCCCAGACGAGGGGGGGTTTGAGGGTTTCAGATCACCATCTGACTCCACTCTATCCCTGGCAACTCTCGTCATCTCGAAAAAGACACCCTCGAAACACAGCCTCTGCTGGGTGTTGACAAGGATGATGATGATGACTCCCTTACCCTCCAGCACCAGACAAAAACGCCAAAATCCCAGTCATACGAAACTTCTCTTTCAACTCTCTCTTTGCCTTCTTCCTTCTCGAAATGATTCTATCCAGCCGATTTTTATATTTTCCAGACGCATTCCAATCAAAGGATTGCATTCGACACTGAAAAGTAATCTCTCATCGGTTGGTGATGAACGTGTTTGTTCCTCGATATAATTAGAAGCTCATTATCTGAAGAAAAAAAAATCCGAACCGGCGTCTGCAATAATGGCTAATTTGTTCAAGATGCCCAGGAATTATCTAAATTCGAAAATTTTAAGAATATATGGGGACTTGATAATTTTACCCATCATGAATAATCCTTTGGAAGTTCCCTTCGTTTATTATTGATTGAATGTTTTGGAAAATACGGTAAATCGAAATCCCTGTACATCAGGTGCAATGAACTCCAAGGGACCAAAAAAAATCGTTGGATTGAAGGAAAAATCGTCGATTTGTTTTACAAAGAAAATAAGGATTTTTTTATTTGTTGTTAATTTTGTTATTAATTTTTTATTTGTTGTTAATTTTTTTAATTTTTTGTTTGTTATCAATTTTTTTATTTGTTGTTAATTTTGTTATTATTTTTTTATTTGTTGTTAATTTTGTTATTATTTTTTTATTTGTTGTTAATTTTGTTATTATTTTTTTATTTGTTGTTAATTTTGTTATTACTTTTTTATTTGTTGTTAATTTTGTTATTACTTTTTTATTTGTTGTTAATTTTGTTATTACTTTTTTATTTGTTATTACTTTTTTATTTGTTATTACTTTTTTATTTGTTGTTAATTTTGTTATTAATTTTTTTATTTGCTATCCGAAGCTAGGTCCGTTATCTGATTTTAAAATTCGCGTCAATCCATGAAACGAGGTGTCCCTTATCCGGGTTTTCCATGCCCTAACACGAACCCATCAGTCTCGAGAACAGTATTTATTAAGAGAGGGTGGGTTTAGTTTCGGACACGATCAGAGGGTTGGGCAGTTTTTCGTGTTACATGGGCTGCTTTTCAGAGGTGAACGTGCTTTTTCACTGCAGTGAATCCGAGCGATTTCGAGCATCACTTTGCCGGACACACGGGGGTATTTAGAAAACGATTGAGGGCGAAGGTAGAGTAGAGTGAGGAGGAATCGCTCAACGGTCATCGTGGGGTTTTTTAAACGGTTTAAAAAGAACGATGGGGGGTTTTTTAAACCAGCGACGTTGCTTCCACGAGGTCGTTGAATTGAAGGAGGTGTTGGGACAACTAAAAAAAAAAGACATGGGGGAAAAGTTCCTACGAAAAATACTACAACTTATCACGGCGTCTCAGCGTGGATAATGAAAAAAAATTGAATAAAATACGGTGGTGCTTTTGTTGGTGGACCTTGTAATGTCAAAAAAGTCTCATAAATTAGGTACAGGCAAACCCCGATAACTCGAACCTCCGTAAGTCGAATTTTGGTTAAGGTCTTGCATGAATCCCTTTAGAATTTATATGTTTTCCCTCAACTTTAAGATACAAAAAATAATGCGGAAGAAAACCACATGAAAGCTTAGCTTTCTGTCATCAAAAGAACCACAAAAATACTGTATATATATATATTGGCAAAAAATTATACTGTAGTAGCTTTTTTATTATGAATTGTGTTATTTAGAAGAAAATTTAATTTTTAATTTTTGTGAATATAAATAGCTCATTGTTTTCAGGATATGTAAATATTAAAAAATTTTGAATTTTTTAAAGAATTTTTTTTCAGGTCCTGTATGAATCCCTTTAGAATTGATATGTTTAAAACCTTAAGTCAAACCTGCATGAGTTAAATTTTCCGTGGCTTGTTGGCTTTTATTTTCTTGACACAAGCAAGAAAAAAAGCAATAAAAACATGAATTGATTTTTTCTAAAAGGAGAGACTTAATGCTGAGAGCTGAGAGGAAAAGCACTGAACTTCGGGGGGTTTTTAATGCATTAATTCTGAAGAGATTCAGACAGTAACTTGAAAATAATTTTGACTTAGGGAGGGTTGAGTTATCCAGGTTCAACTATTTAAAATTTGGTTGAGACCAAGCAGCCATGTTATGAAAATTTGCTGGTATGAAATCAAAGCATCAAGGTTGACAATTTTTTCTTTTAATTTCGTTCTGAAAATCAAGAACTAAAACGCTTCATCACAAAACTTGCGCTTATTTTCCCCCAACAATAAAAAAATGTCTAATTATTTTAATGACGGGTTATTTACCCCTTCACTGTAATACCGAGTGCATTTCGTCTGGATATCTTTCTCTCAACACGTGTATACGTTCTGGTTGCTGCATGCAACCTTTTTTACGCGTCTGAAGTCGAGACAGATGTGGAAATGTTGTTTGATTTGGTTCTTTGGAGAACGAACGCAGTCAGTACACGTTTCGGGGTTCTGCAGGAAGTAAACTTCCTACTACGGATTTATGGTACTGTTTGGCACTAAAGCAGTCGGCGGTCGACATGAACTTTCCCTCACAAGAACTATCAAGTACGACTTGAGAACGGAAATAAAAGGAGAGCAGGAAAACGCCTTGCAAAGAAAGAAGAATCCATGATGTAGGTCATGCGCGGAGAAAAAGAAGAAAGAGAATCAATTATGCCTGTTTTTTGGCAAAGAAATGTAAACGCTCTCTGCTGCTGCTAAATTGCGTGACGGATTTCACTGGAAAGCATGTAGAACTGGTACCGATAATATGACATGTATTGTTCTTACACTAATTTCCACTCGGTTGGAATTTTCGAGGTTTAATCGAAATTTTAAAAAAAAGGCAACACACGGGCAAAAAGAAATTTAATCGATTTTTCTTTCTTTCAGTCCATCAATTTTTGAGACCGAATAAATAAAGCATGCTCAGGATCAGGTGAATGTCTTCAAATAATAAACCTGAGACGTGAAACGCAGTTTATCGTAATTCAGAAAAAAAAGGGAACTCAAATCATCTGGGCATTGATCCAATAAACTGTGCCCCAATTTCTCCGAGGAAACAAAGCGGCCTGTAACAATTCAATTTTCAGCCACTTCATTCCCCTTCTGAACACTTTAATTTCGTTTGGAATTTATTGTTAAAATTACAGTCTTTAAAAAAAAAATAACTCGGGAATTTTTGGGCGAGCGGAACCCAATCATCAAGTCGGAGAATCGCCGGGTTTTTATTGCAGTTTTATGCAAATCGGGCGACACGGAATGCAAGGGATGGATACCCTCGATGTGTGAGAGGGTTTCGTTTCGTTTCGGAGGTTTTTTTTATTATATTCGAAACCCCTGGTTCAGATGAGCCCAAGCGCGAAAATACTAGAACCTTCAACTGATTCTTAGAAATGCATTGCGACGCTTGGAAGCGTTTCTTCCACGGATTACTGCTTGCGTTAATGGAAATACAATTGGTTCATGGACGACGACCGGGGATTATGAGAAGGGTGCTGCAGATTATGCTGAAATTATGACGGTTGGCGAATTTCGGGCGTATGAAGGCGCATTTCCGCAGAACTTTCACCAAAGTCTCCTTCGAGGTCCACAACAATGCGCAGGAAGCTGCGATGAGCGAGTTCACGTACCCGCTGCAGCCCTGAAGAAATTAGATGGAAAATAGAAGAGAAGCTCTTTACGAAGCTCATATTTTCTGAACATGTGGACACTCTCTAGAACGAAATTGAGGAGACCAGGAAAACATATAATTGCACAGAGAATATATTTTTTTACTGGAAATCCTCAATATGGGCAGCTTTTCCCATGGGACCTAAAAAATGTAATGGAGAGAAGATCAATATTGCTAAAATTGAAGTAGAGAGAGTTTACTTGTACTTCTTTTACAAAAAATGATCACTGCAGTTAAAATGCTTAATCTTTATTTTATTTTCATTATGCAACTTATTCAGGCAGGGTATAAGTATAGTTTTGTATGCTTTTATAATTCTGAAGCATCTATCAAAACACAGTATTTTTTTTATTATAAAATGATGATGGTTATCAATAATGCTAGGTTCAAGTCCTCTGCTCAAGTATTTTTATGTTTAGCTTGGATTAAGTATGAACATTATAGAACAACTGGAATTTTATCTTGAAGATGGACTCTTTTTATGGTGAGAATAAGTTCATTAGGCTTCTTCAAAATATTCCCCAAGTGTAGAATCACAGCATTGTGCACAAAGTTCTCCACACAAATTATCTCCTTAGTGCTTAGTTCAAACATAGAAAAAGAATTTCAAAGTATTTATTTTGGCTGAAAGAATGATTTTTACAACAAAAATAAACGCAGTAATATATCATATTAAGCGCGGTCGGTGGATATTTAAATGGAATGTCTGAACTCGCTCAGGAGTTGCCCGGGGTGAGGAAAATCGGTTGAGCTCGCCCGAAATCGTTGGCAGTTGTGCTCGCAGTTTCGGTGGGTGACGTCCTCATGGTAACACTAGAAGCTGACGCTCTATAACCTTTAAAATTTGTCGGTTGAGCAATATTCGTACACTTCCTGTTTTCATTCCACTTCTTTTTAAAGTTCATTTTATAACTACGTTATGAATCATGCAATTCGAATTTGCGCTTCTCGAAGGGGATCGATTCGTGTTGTCGATCGTTTTCAGTGTTTTTCCTTCGTTTTTGCTTATTTTTCTCTGAACCGAGTGCGTTTGAACGTCAGTGTTCATCAATCTCTGACGTGACTAGATAACGTTTGTCGTCGATGGCAGAAATTTCCGGCAATTCTGCAATTTATGCTTGAAAATTCTTGCCATCGGAATTGACCACCTGCTGTGAATTCGTTCACAGACCTTGTACAATACAGTATTTGATTTCCCCCACAGCGCATTACTAGATATTCTTTCGCGAATATAAAAGGAGGAAATTCCTTTCAGAATCACCAATTTGGAAAAGTGTTGTAGATCATTTAGTTGAAAGTAATCCGGAAAGGAAGTGTTCGTGAGAAAGTATGTCGACCGAAAATAAGCCGAGTTCTCGTGCGGGTTCGAAAACGAACCTCAACGAATCCTCGTGGCCTTTGTTGCAAGAAGCAGTGGAACACGGAGTTGTTATGCAGAACCCGGATATCGACATCAAAATCACGACTGACCCCGGATCTGCCGAGACTTTCGAGATGAAGGAGAAGGATGAGAACGAAGTTCCAAATGTGAGTTGCCACACTTTTTTTTTTTCGTACTTGGTTTCTGCAACCGTTGTTCGTGTGTGTGTGTGTGTGTCTTTTTCGTTTTCGTGGGAATAATTTTCGTGTTGCTTGGAGCTTGTGGAAAAGTTCTCGGAGAGTCGAGTAAGCGAGATCCTCTACTGGTGTCATGTGGATGATGATATCGGAGACACTTGCGAAGTGTCCATTCGAAGAATTCTCTCGAATTTGGTGAATAATTTATAAATCCTTCGCAAGCTCGAATCATTTCCAAGGACAGTACAGTAATTATAGTGTTTTGAAAATAATTTGGGGAGACTAATTTTGATGAATTCTTTGATTCGAGCTTCGGAGCGAAGCAGCGGACCAGGATTTCTTCTCATATATTTACCTGGGCTTATTGAACAAATTTTTAATCAGACATCTGCCTCCTAAACACAAGTATATTCCAAATTCACCCATCGTAGCTTGAATTGGGACGACGTCATTATCGACAGGAACGCTGACATTCTTCCTGTAATTGCTGTTTTGCGAGAATTCTATGTAGAGTGAAAGCGAGGATATTCCCGAGATATTGGAGAAATTCTTCAAACGATTCCCTTGGCAAGCGTTAATGTAATTGAATTCTTCAGTGGAAATCGTTTTCGTTGTACATGTTTGCTCCTCGACTGGAATATCTTCTCGTTAATTTGGAAAATGATCCGAAATTTTTCCCCTCTAGCGAGTAAATGAAAAGTCGATTACCTCTTGATCTTCTCAAAGTTTTTTTTTCGTGTGTGCTTGATTTGTCAAGGAGCATTTTATTTTCTTGCTTTCGAGGCAAAGCTCGGTGTGTAACTCGCAATAAGGTCCCCCCCCTCGATTTCAGCGGAAGTTTTGAATCCCGTCTTTGTTTGGAAAAAAAGAGACTTTGGACTGCTTCAGTGAGTCCACCTGTCGAATATCCCGAGGTTCTTCCCTTTAAAAAAATATACGAAGGGCACAGAATCGCCGGAAACTCGGTGAAGACGAGTCGATTCCTCTCTCCCCCACTCTTCACAATCCTGTAGAAACATGCAATTACTGAACAGGACATAGGATCTTTCTATCCCCCCCGAAACCCCCATCACAGAGCAATTTAGTTGTCCGTCTTCGCTGGATGCACACGCGATCCTCAGGGTTGCCTTCGTCGCTCCAGTTTCCGATTACGAATTATGATCGAGTCGCCTTTATATTATTTCGCTAGATTTTATTCTTTTTCTTTTTGGGGGGATAGTTTCGCCCTCGGGACATGAAAATATGAGACGAGCCGATGGCATTCAACCGGTGTTGGGAGGGTGAGAGAGAGAGGTTTTTTCTTTTCTTTGTCGTTTCGGTGCACGCGATCAGTGTTGCCGAGGGATGAACGATTTTAATTGGCTTTTTTTTTAAACGGTTCGCCTGGCCTCGAGTTCCACGAAAGCCTCCCTCGTTAAAATGCATTGTTTTTTTTTTTTGTAGTCCTGCATTTCAATGATCGAATGAAGTACTCATGGACGCAGAGGGGGGGGGGGTGGTTGTACTGGCTTACTTTATTGCAGGAAAGTCGGGCATTCAATGAAACGGCTGCCATTTGTTTAAAGCGGTTGGCTTTAAAGTCACGAAAAAAAAATTTTTTAATTTGAAAATGGAGCAGCGGTAGAGCAAAAAAATGTTTTTTGAGGTGAAAGCTGTATTTTTCTGCATTTCTCCTCTTTTGAGAGGGAAAAATAATTTTTGCCGGGGGTTCTCTTACTAAAAAAAAAGATTTCTGAATATTTAAATTCCGCATAATTTATTGGGAAGACGTAATTTTGGGCATAGTAAATAACTCTCGATCTTAATCGATTCATCTAAATAAATTCCCTTGTATGGGGATCTCTCTTGACGTTGCATATTTTTTATTATTATACGAAAATGTAGGTTTATGCATGATAAATTTTAGCATTGTTTCCGAGAGAATTTTTCAACCTCTGGGTACGGCTAATTTTAGTTCAAGCATCATTCCGCCAGGTGGCCTAAATTTCCCTCGAGAGAATTGAAGCACGCAACTGGTTTCTTGGTGGAGATTTGCCGCGGTGGTACCGAGGTATCTTGAAGGATATTTTATATAATAGTGGACAACCCTGGAAGTGGCGCCTTTTTTGTGTGTGTGTGTGTGTGTATCAATGTGCAAGGACCCTGCGGCGCTCCATTGCAAAAGCCTTGATCGCGCCTCAGCGAATACAAAAAAAAGAGAGAAAAATTCGCCTCGTCTCCTTCCCTTCATTTTATTCTTTTCTTTTCCCCTCAGGGGGGGAGTGAAATTTTTTGTGGTGACTCAGGATTTTAAACCGAGTTCCCTCCTACTTTTCTTTCCCTCGCCCCGAGGTGCAATGAACTTGGTCAACGGATTTTCAGGCCACGAGCCCCCTTTTTTTTATTGTGTTGTCAAACGTTGTTTATGATGCCGAACGCTGAGTTTTTACGATGCAACAGGTACTGGGGCGAATTTATTTTCCGTCGGTGTTTTTGTTATTTTTTTTCGAACGCTGGGGTTTTTTTTTTAATTTCTTCGTGAAGGCGGCGAAATTGAGTTCACTTTTTTTTTTCGTTTTACCGTCACTGGTTTATGACAGGAAGTGTTGCTCCGATTAAGTCCATGGTCTGTTGCTCACCGTTTCCGGGGAACGGTTTTGGGAATTGTACAAGTTTTTGCCTTGTTGACACCTGTGTTTTTTGTTTTAGGGGAAGGAGAAGAAGAAGAAAGAGAAGAAGGACAAGAATAAAGGAACGGCAGAGCGAGGGGTTTGCAAGTTTGACGAGATGACGTGTGGATTGAATTTGAATGACAGGGATGAGTGCGGCATCAACAAGCACGTCAATGTAAGTTTGATTTATGTGCTGCTTCGTGGAGTTTTTTTTTTTTTTTTGCGTGTAACCAAGATAAAGTACTGTATCAATTTTCAATTATTCACGACCGAAATCAATCTTTTTTTTTGGTACGGTCCACATGGCGTCGCTACGCTTGGGAAATTCGATCTGTAATCTCACTGCAAAAACGCCTTTCAATTTTTTACAATTTCAATTTGAATCATGGCCCTTTTTTTTCTTCTTTCTTTCAAAGATTGCATTCGGCGATGTGATTGCTGAGCCGGACGCGACCCACGGACCCGATGCCCCTTGGAAAATGGCGTACGCGGCATTTACGTTCGTCAAGTCTGGGATTTACGGCGCCCTAGCCGCCGTTTTGGGCGTCCCACTGGCCATTCTGTGGGGCTTCATCTTCGCATTGCTCTCATTTGTTTTCATCTGGATCATCACCCCGTTGCTGCGCATTTTCGCACTCTTTTTCGCCGTCGTGCGCAACGTAAGTCTCCGAAGAGTTCCGCCTTTCAAGATTTTTTTCAAATGTATTGCGTAAACAAAAAAAGCTCAGGATCTGTAATTAAAATAAACAATGCTGTATTGCATTTATTCCTGACAGTATACTGTATATTCATTTTATTTTCTTTAAAATTTGAATAAAAAGCGGGAAACTCGAATTTACGCTATGATTAAATCAGCGCTGATTTAATAATCAATTGACGCTGATCGAATTTTATTCGAGCTTATGATTGGATGAAGGATGTCTTTTTTTCCCTGCTGCTATTTTCTGTTCCACTGCAGATTGAAATGAAAATAGGTCTGATCGACGAGATTCCTTTTCTCTGGGCATCGCAAAAGAAAAAAAAAGAATTTTAACTTCATGCTGGGGTTATTTTAATTGGTTTCGCTGCTATCGAATGCCTAGTGTTCGAGTGATTGGAATAGAAGCAAATCTTGATAACGGTTCTTCACATTTTTTAATCTCTCTCTGGTCAGGAAAATATATATTCTTGGTTCGAAGTCCGAGTCGTCAAATTAAAATGTAAATCATTTTCTCAAAACCGTGTGGAACTGAGAACAAGATCATGAGCTACAATTCATGAGGAATTCTTTGAAAGAATTTAATTTCATAATTGGGGAAACTATTAATTCGAGTGGAATTCGTGTTCAAACTTGAAAGATATGTTTCGTATAAGAGATGAGAATTTTTCCTCTGCGATGCAAATATTTACTTGACGTAATTGTTGCACATTTTTTTTTCGCATTACATAATTTCATTTCAATTTTTTTCGACAGCTTTTTGAGATGGTAACCAGGACTTTCATTGAGCCATTGTTCGCTTCAATTGGAGCACTCATGTCTCAGATCAGGATCAAGAGAGACGTGACGACAACTTATCAAAAGGCGCAACAGACCAACACGGAAGAAGAAGTTTGAAAAAAAAATAAATCAATCCGAAATGTGAAACAAATTATCAACAGCCTGGAAAATTATTTTTCTTTCGTTCTTCCAGAAAAAAATGAAGCTGCTTTGTACCTTTCCGCGAACGTTGGAAGAAAGTGTGTCTGAGCTCGTGTACATGAAGTAATTTTTATTTTGTAACGGCCCGAACGAACGATCTTGTTTTTTTTTTGCCTGGGACGGTTTTAAATCCCGTTTGTTAACTCTCCGATTTCGGCAGTATTTTATCGCTTCATGGGGGAGAGGAGATTTTGACAAAACGAGCCAATGTTTGATTTATTTTCTTCGTTCGGGACTGGTGTTTTTTTTTTTGTTCGGAAAAAAGTCAATTTACGGAGTAATAAACGAATGGGAAGAAAAAGCATTCGTTCGAATTTATCGAAAATTCGAGGGTTTCATATTTGATGGGAGCTGTGGAAAATTACGGTTCGACTCGGGCCTTTGTTGCGATTCCGCGTAAGTGTAAAGTCGGGGAATAACTGGATGCCAAACGTTCTGCGAACCAAGTCGTGGGCTTGGACACTTTTTTCGCACTGGGCAATTGGAAAACTTCAAACTCGACAGATTGGAATCCAGTTTGCGCAATGGCGTCCTCTTCTTCACTGCTCTTGTATTGAAGGAGCGCTTTGCTTTTGTGCTTTTGGTAAATTCCTAATGAAGAAAGAGAGAGGGAAAGAAAGGTAAAATAATTAGTGTACAAGTCATTGACGAATCCCCGAAATCGAATCACACGCTTTAAGGTCTCGTCATTTTCTTCGCACTATACCAAAAAGACGTGATCGGAACAAACTGTATTTTCCCTCATGAAAATTAATTGTATTGTAAATGGTTTAAAATGCTAAATTTCTAGCGCTGAAATGAATTGAAAAATTTAGTTGAAGAAACGTGTGCCCATGGGTATAACACACAATTTTCAGTCCGAAATTTGTTTGAAAATCTATCCTATAAAATATAAATATATTTTTGTATGACAAAGTAAAATGCAATCAATCGGAATTAAATTGGGCTGAAACTGAACGCGAAATTCGATTGAAATCTGTTTTTCAGATGATGTTCGAATTTGTTCCAACATTTGACTGGAAAAGTTGGGATCTGACTATGACACCATTTTATTTCCTTTTTTATGTTTAAAGGAATTGTAATTGGAATTCATTTTTATCCATTTGTCCTTTTATTAGGCACCTCTAAAAAAAAGAAAATGATGTGCCAGGTAATATTCAGACTTGCTGGAACTCTTAGTACTTACATGGCCTCGAATTATGCAACAGCAAACAATCCTGAGATGAATTATTTAACGATCCTGTTGAATTGCAGCCTTCAATTTACCCACAAAAATTGAAATTAATTTTTTCCTCGGAAATTATCTGCAGAAGGATAAATTGTACTTGTTGAAGCTTGATATTATTGCTTGTGGACCGCCTGCAAAGTTGCAAGAATAATGGCTGGTTTGGCAGCTAGGTGTATAGATACTTATTTTACGTTTTCAGTAATGCAACGTTGGAGTAATGAGAATTAAGGGGTGAAATGTCACAGTAAATCAAATGGGGAAGTGACGCAAGATATCGACCCCAGCTTGAAGGAAGATTTTCGATGATGAATAATAATTTAATTGAAGTACGTGTCACGTGTTTTGAATCAGCAGTTGAACCTAAATTTATTTATTTTAAGGAATTAAATATTATGTTTTCTCTATACCCAAGGTTATGTAACAGTAGTCCATCAGCAAAGTGAATCTCCTACAATGGTATCCACGTCTGTCGTGTGGACTGCGATCTTTGCTGTGATGTTCCAGTAATTTCCGGTTCGAGTCAGTCTCCGCCGATCTCACATACGCATCCAAGTGTTCCCAAAACAAGTACTTTCCGCCGGGTACCAGAATCCTCAGAATTTCAGCCAGAAACTTCCTCTTGTCCTTGGTTTGGCACAAGACGAGCGTGGTTATGACTACGTCCGCGCTCGATGACGAAATATCTTCAAGGTTTTCCCCTTTGCCTANAAATGAATTGTATTGTAAATGGTTTAAAATGCTAAATTTCTAGCGCTGAAATGAATTGAAAAATTTAGTTGAAGAAACGTGTGCCCATGGGTATAACACACAATTTTCAGTCCGAAATTTGTTTGAAAATCTATCCTATAAAATATAAATATATTTTTGTGTGACAAAGTAAAATGTAATCAATCGGAATTAAATTGGGCTGAAACTGAACGCGAAATTCGATTGAAATCTGTTTTTCAGATGATGTTCGAATTTGTTCCAACATTTGACTGGAAAAGTTGGGATCTGAGTATGACACCATTTTATTTCCCTTTTTATGTTTAAAGGAATTGTACTTGGAATTCATTTTTATCCATTTGTCCTTTTATTGGGCACCTCTAAAAAAAAGAAAATGATGTGCCAGGTAATATTCAGACTTGCTGGAACTCTTAGTACTTACATGGCCTCGAATTATGCAACAGCAAACAATCCTGTGATGAATTATTTAACGATCCTGTTGAATTGCAGCCTTCAATTTACCCACAAAAATTGAAATTAATTTTTTCCTCGGAAATTATCATCTGCAGAAGGATAAATTGTACTTGTTGAAGCTTGATATTATTGCTTGTGGACCGCCTGCCAAGTTGCAAGAATAATGGCTGGTTTGGCAGCTAGGTGATAGACAACTTCGTGAAATTAGTACTTAATGAATATAGTATACTTATTTTACGTTTTCAGTTATGCAACGTTGGAGTAATGAGAATTAAGGGGCGAAATGTCACAGTAAATCAAATGAGGAAGTGACGCAATAAATTGACGCCAGGTTGAAGGAAGATTTTCGATGATGAATAATTTAGCCGAAGTATTGGGTCACGTGTTTCGAATCAGCAGATAAACCTAAAATTTATTCATTTTAATGAAATAAATATTCTGTTTTCTCTATACCCAAGGTAATGTAACAGTAGTCCATCAGCAAAGTGAATCTCCTGCAATAGTATCCACGTCTGTCGTGTGGACTGCGATCTTTGCTGTGATGTTCCAGTAATTTCCGGTTCGAGTCAGTCTCCGCCGATCTCACATACGCATCCAAGTGTTCCCAAAAAAAGTACTTTCCGCCAGGTACCAGAATCCTCAGAATTTCAGCCAGAAACTTCCTCTTGTCCTTGGTTTGGCACAAGACGAGCGTGGTTATGACTACGTCCGCGCTCGATGACGAAATATCTTCAAGGTTTTCCCCTTTGCCTATGCACATCGAATTCACCATAAAAATGAACGTTTCGTCATGTTATCCGTGATGTTATAGCCGAGGGAAAATTTTGATTTACGAGATACTGTAATTGAATGAATGACACACGTGATGCTCATACCTACGATGAAGGATTCAAGTCTGACATTCGGGTACTTGTCTGCATTTCGTCTCACGAATTTCTCAAAGTAAGGATTCGGATCTACTCCGATGACCGCGGTTCTGCTCGGCATGAACTGGAAATTCGCGCCGATGCCGATTCCGATTTCCACCACCTTCAAATAATCCGCATCTTCCCTTTCTCTCGTCATCATCATCGTGTCTTGTTTAGCATTCTTGCTTCGTAATACAGCAAAGTGTGCTTCCTTCGAGTCCTGAGCAATCTCAGAAAAGGCGCGGGATGAAAAGTGGAACAGATTCGCATTCAGGAGTTCGTCGAGATGCAGTGCGTTTGTGGCACCGTAAACGCCGACAGCAGCGACACCTAGCGTTATGACAAGTTTCCCTGATGCGTTGAACATCATCCCCTATGCATTCTGTAGATTGATTAAAACCCGTCTGTGAATAAGGAAGCGAACCAATCACTGTACAGTGCGACAAAAAAAAAGAAGTCTTGAGACAATAAGTGCTCAGCTCTGAAGTGAACCCAGCTTTCACCGACTTTCTGGGAGGTGACTCAGCTGAATCTAGTCATGCATAAAACACTTTTAAAGTGCATCTTCGCGGGAGAATGCTTAGATGCTTCAGTTGATGTGTGAAAATGGGTCTGAGAGCAGTGTTAACACTCGCCCTGCTTTTAGCACTCCACTTGACCTGTGTTGACTCCTGGGGCTCCTTTTTCAAAATCAAGAATCCGTTTTGGGTGAAGAGTGAGGAACTGGCCAGGAAAAATGCCATGAACAGTCCTGGGTTGTCTGCTGCTGCCTCTGAGAATATGGGCTACCATCAGCAGCAGCAGGCATACAAAAGTCAACCTGTTGACCAGAATTATCAGCAAAGACCCATGTCTAAGAGGGTGAAGCCAAAGTATGTTAATCTGGACAGAGACACACTGGCTGCTTATTTTGGACTCCCAGAGAAGAATCAAGGAAGGAAAAAGGTTTGTGTTTTTTGGTTTTTATATTGTTTAAAGCAGTGTTCCCCAACCCATGGTCAATGGACTAGTGCTGGTTTGCAACAGTTTTTACCAGCAGGTCCACAGAAAAATTTTCTGCATAATAAATTTATAAAAAAGTTGGGATGAAGTCTGTTCTCTTTACCTAAAATTTTGGAAGGACAATGGTAGTTGAATTATCTGATGAAAACAAATTTGGCATCTCTCCTAATAACACTTCAGCCAACTTCCACCTGCTGAAATAAATTATTTAATTTTTGATACTGATATATCTTTCTCCAAGCCCACCTTTCTAATTTTTGGATGACCGTCTTAACTGAATTTTTCTTATAACTACCTGCCTAATAACATTCAAGCAAAACTTTGGCATGTCTGCAAAAATTTCAAGATACTTTGGTGGTCTGCAGAAAATTGTATGAGAATTTGGCAGTCTGGGACTTCTTTTTTTGAATTTGCTGGTCCCCTGGCCCAAAAAGGTTGGGGAACACTGGTTTAAAGCGCTTTCTCACCAATTTTTTTTTTTAATTTTTGAGCAGAAGAAGCAACGTTTGCAAAAGCTTGAACCATCTGCCAGCAAACAGATATCTGTGGAAGAGATGCCCAAGTTGGATAGCTTGGATTCGCAACCTAATCAGCAAATTTTCTCAAGGCCAGTGCCCTACCAGCAGCCTCAACAGCAATTGCAGCAGCTGCAACCAAGTGTTCCTGTTAATCCTCCATCACCACCTCAACCAGCTCCTCAGCAACCTCAGTCAGAGGCAAAGCCACAAGGCAGAGGTAAATTGCAAACAAAACATAATACAGTAATTATCAAGACTAATTGTCATTACTTTACTGTACACCTAAAGCTAACATGCCTTCTGTGGAATTTTTGTTTACTTTCTTGTCTGAATTCCATCATAAACAATGTAAAATGGATCTCTGTAGCTCAAAGACTTTCTCCATAAAATCTCTATACAGTATATACAAGCCAATTTTCTAAGAGACCTCCTTTGGGATATAATTCTGTGGACCCAGGAAAGGGAAAAGTAATTAAATTTCAACTTGATGTGTTTCAAAAGCAAATGATTGTCTAATTGGGAAAATTTACCCTTGCTTTCAAGTTCAACATTTTTTTCAACAAAGCAGGTATAATACTGTACCATATTAAATCACAGCCTCGTAACTTGCTGCTGTTTTTTATCAGTGAAAATGCTGGTTTCCTTAAATTCAAAAATTGAGTCGGCGACCTCAATGATGTAACATATAGGATTCGAGCGACACCTATTTGAATGTTGAGAATTTTTCAGAACCGGAAAGATGTTGCTGTGATGCTAACAGGGCCAGAATTTGTTTTCGGATGGTCCTAATTTTTTTAAATATTTTGTATTCTAGATTACGGAGGAACTGGAGAAGACAGAGTGAGGATGAAAGTGTACAGAGGTCCCACAGAAGGAGAGGGGGAAAATGCCCATGCTGCTTGGGGCTTCTGGGTGAAGCACCCTCCAGAGGCACCACCTAGTCATGCCCCGACCAACTATAATCCTTTATACTGACTTCTTTACCTAGATGTCTCTAGTAATCTCAACTGACACCTCCGGAACCGATGGTGAAGTTACTGAGGGGAAGATTTGATGAGTTGCTCGTCATTAAAGCATGTCGTTTATGCATCTCAGGTCTTCGCATCCGATTTTTTTTTCTTCTCCGGGCTTTCAGAAATCACTGAAATGAAGTCAGTTGATTTGAATATGCGGATTTATAACGATATGCAGTGACCAAGAAAATACACACGACACGACACACGGTCTTTGCGGGGAAGGAAAAAGCAAATCGTTTTGTGGCTACCGTGGTGCAATTTGGATGGTGCAAGTGGTTTTCAGGTTATGCATGGAATTCAATTCAACACCGAAATCTCTTCTCACTTCCAAGAATCCAGCAGAGTTCATATGATCCGAGTCCATTCGATAGTGTTTTTGTCTGAGCCGAACTCATTTTAGTTGGACTTCAAGTTTTGTTCTGCCAACACAGTCATTTTTTATCGAGTTTTTTTTATAGATAGATTTTAATTGGAAACAGGTGTCATTTCATTTTATTTTCTTCCGAAGTGCGTGAATGAAACACAAAATGTGAAGTTCATTCGATCATGAAAAATTGTGAATAAGCGGTTTCTCTACAGTTTCAGTGTAAATAGAAGCATCTACTGTATGAAGAATATTCGAGTGAAATCTGACGAGAGAACGCTGTCAAACTGATTGTTTTTGTAACCCTCTAAAAATCAATCAATCATTGGTTATTGATTCATTAAATCGTTCATTCAATCAGGGACTCAGCACTTTTTTTTTCTTACGAACCATGTTGCAGAAATCTTGTACTGTACCAACAAGCATAATTCGAATTTTCAAAGGATGTATGAACACACAACAGAAGATGAAAACAGGATTATTTCTGTTATCATTCCAGCAACAATGAGCACCTCAGTGCGGCGAAATGGAACATAAATTTTTCAGTATTTTCAGGAACCTCAGAGATCAATTCACTTACTGATCTAGCTGACAGTATAGAAACAAGAAATACGATGCACAAGATGCCATACATGTTCATGAAAAAAATTGCTGAAACTTCGTCGAACTTTCGTGTGTATGTAAATCAGTACAGGTACTGTACTTGATTCTACAGAGTGTGGGTCCTAAAGTTGGTTGGACGTTGGAACTTGAGTTGTAGCATCTATTCGCGAAGAATGAAGAATTTACGCTTTTTCTTTCAATATTGAAGACTAGGTGTCGCGCGTAACTGTTCGAATCGCTCGTGACGTCAGACGCGGAATGAAATTCGTCCTTTCACAACTCGCCTATTAATTTTCTGCATGTCACCAGCATCCAGTAGTTTCGGTGATTCTCAAGAAATTATTGCCATCTGTTTGTGGCTGAGTGACACATTTTGTCATGAAATCCTCATAATGATACGGTACATCGCAATTTTCTTTTCTCCTTCCCCCGTCGGTCTCCCAGAAGCGAAGAAAGTCGTAAACGATTTCCGGCAGAAATTCGGATGTCTTTCTCTGCGTTCGTGTCTGTCGGAGACGATCATTATCGTGCATTATCGTGGTCCTTGGAAATTTCCTGTCGGTTATATGTACAGACGATCAATCGATGGACTAAAACCTACAATTTACCCGGGTTCGAGGATAATCATGTCGGGTCGATGAGAAAAGAGGAGAAGGAACTCCGCGAACATTTAGAAAAGTGAGTTAGAGGGTGGAAAACAGATCGTCGGATTATGCGCGAACTTTTTCGCCTTTTTCATGGCGATTCTTCGCTGCAATTTTTCTCTTTCTCCGCTAATATGGGCCTCGACGTGGACGAGGATTCAAAAGAAAAAAGGAAGGAAAAGAAATTCGGAAAAGTGTTTCAATTTGCATGACACGTGACTGGCACGTGGGGCAATTTGATTTCCGCTCCGCGATTTCACGGGTGTTGAATATGTTTTTTTTCTTTCCCTCTGCGTATGTAGGGAAAGTTTAGCTTCCTTTTTTCTATTTTTTTTCTGGTTGTTGCTGAGGTTTTCGGTGAAGCTTGATGGACGGTTTTAACTCGGTTCCCCGCGGGGATAAGTGCCTACAAAACGTCTGTCAGTTTGAGATTTATACAGTTTTCCGACGAAACTCTGCTATATGATTCTAAGCGGAACGAGTCCATAATCAGGCATGTGAATTGCGTTTGATTCACATTTTTGTTCTGGTTGCTCTTGCTGAGATTCATTTTGATGGTGAATTTGTTCTGGCTCTTATTTATGGTTGGGTTATATTCATAAAAGTATCCAAACGGATGCGTGAAATATGGGATGCTGAAAAATTGAGAAGACAATTTGAGACTAAACAGATGGAGGCAGAAAATTTGTAACAGGGACAATTTGAGACAGAGCCAATTTGAGATAGGGACAATTTGTGACAGGGACAAATTTAGACAAAAAACTATCATCTTAATGAGGAGAGGAATCTGCTTAGGTTGATACGTAGATTTGAGTTTTTCCTTGATGAGGAAAACTAACTTGACAGTGATGATGGACAAAAAGGAGAAAAATCCTGGGGTCATGGACTTTTCACCGAACAGCGCCATTTTTGTTCATTTTCACACCCTAAACATAATATAATAGGGAGAAGTGCAGTTGAGTCATTTGGTTTCAAAATGTATCTGTCTCAAAATTTCTCAAATTCTCAAAATGTGTTTGTCTCAATTTGTCCATGTCTCAAAACATTTCAGTCTCAAATTCTCCTTGTCTCAAAAAGTTTCTGTATCAAAGTTTCCCTGCCTCCAAAAGTGTCTGTCTTAATTTAGCACTGTCTTGAATTGTATGCCTCAATTTGTCCTAGATCCAAGAAATATGTTTGAGCATGTCAGAATACCAAGTCTCTAAAAGACTAGTCTCATTGGCTTGTGTCTTTCAAGGTATTTGGTTAGGTTTAGGTTATGTCTGATTTATGATAGGTAAGGTTCAATACTTTAGGTTAGGTTGATTTAATGTTTTGTTTCAATGTTAAGATTTAGTAATTGAAGTCAAGTCAAATATTTTAGGGAAAGTTATGTTAAGCAGCTTACAGTAATTATATTGGGTTAGGTACATAATTATTATTGCTCTTTTGTGAAACCACTATTTAATGCACATTCTCTGCAACATTCAGACTAGTATTTCACAAACTTGATACCATTTTCACCTTTTTTGAACCTGCTCTTTTTTTTAGGCTTTTCAGTGGCACAGCAGAACCATTACAAACAAAAGGTGGGGAACTAAGTGACCATTTGACAAAGTTTTACAGGACATGCTAAATCCATATGTGATGCTTGGGTCCAAATACTGGGGTTTAATGTATTAGTTGATTAGACTGAATACTCAAAAATGGTCTTCCATTGTCTGATTACCGGTGATACCTTGCAATTAGACCCTAATCGATTCCTGGACTAGGGTCAAATTGCGAAGTGGTTGAATAGCAAGACAATGTCAAACGGCATGTTTTCTGCATGGCATTTTACATTTAATTTCTCTCCACAGGTCAAATTGCGCAGCAGAGGTCAAAGTCAGAGTCAACTTTCCAGAAAAGTTGACTGTCAAATTGTGGGATGGTCAAATTGTGGGAGGTTGAATTGCAAGGTACCACCTGTAAAAGTATTTTGCTTCCTTTGGAATCCATCTGCCAATTTTCAAGCAATAAAGTAAACAATGAAATCTATAATTTGATTCAACCTTTCTCCACATTAATTCACTCAACTGCACTTTCTCCCAGTTGATGAAGGATCTTGAAAAGAACTGTTTTAGATTCAAAGTTGTTGCGTTGCAGCATTAAAAAAAGTCAAATTCAGTTTGAGTCTATTATATCCCTTATAAAAATTATCTCTACTAAGTGTCTACTGCGAACTTTTGCTGAATAATTATTCAGCCCTGTCAAAAAATGTGACTGATTTTATCCGTGGAAGTAAATTTTCTGGCAATTTTACAGAGCATAAGAAGTTTTTAAAAGATTTCTCTCAAGATTTGTTGAACAACTATTCTCGCCCAAACCTTTTCTCCTGCTTTGTTTAAAAAAAAAACCAATTGGTCAACGGCTACCAGATTACAGTATTTGTGTTTTCATTTCAGAAAGCAAAAATCGACTGCTGTCTTCTCAAATCGTTGTTGACTTGGTTGTGGTCATGATCCGTATAATCTCCCTTTATTTAGTTTCTGGATGTAATTCGAGTTTTAATAAGATCAGAATGTTGTCAAGAAAGAACGATAATTACACTTTCTTTTCAGATGAGGAGGAATGAAATAATTGAGCGAGACAAAACAAATGCCACTCAAGCTGAACAGGATCGTATGACTGCGACTCATCATTTCTTAACATGCCCTCAGGAGATGAGGAAAAAAGCAGTCTTAGAAAGGGAACAAATGGGAAAACTATCATTAGTTTTATGTGCTACCTTCAGGGAATGTTGAAGGAATACACATACAGTACACTACTTTATTCGCAATAAAAACTCAAAAAGGCTGTCAAAAATTGGCATCGATTTTTTGGATGCAATGATCAACAGATAACATTACTCTAAAGTTGGACATGCTGGTGAATTTTATTTTATTTTTTTGGGTGAGACGTGTCTTGAATTTTCGGCCAAGTTCATTACACGGCGCATTAAAACGAAGTACCAGTTCAGAACCTTTTTTTTAAAAAGTGATAATTCAAATGAACATCTGGTGCATTCTTTTTTTAAAAGTCAATCTGTTTCCAGCAGAACCCTTTTGGAAGTGCGGCCTCTTTGAGGGACCACTGCGAATAAAACTTTTCAACTCTCATTTTAATAATATATATAAACGTGAATCAAGAAAATTTGAAGAGGAAAATCCAAGTAAAAATTTAGTAGATTAAAAAATTAATCAAAAAAACCATGTTTTCAAAAAGCAAAAAATAACCTT